AAACATCTATACAATTGATTCCTTTGTTTCTTTCCAGAGTTTCGCTTGACTAGTTAATGCACTGCTACTTTATGATATATAGAACAAAGTATTGATTTCCAACTCAAAAATATGCAAATTATTAAATAATAATTTATAACATAACCTTATTGTAGCTGATTGTTTGTAGTAGCTAATGCTCTATGTGCAAAATACGAGTTATTGCAAGTCGAAGGTATATCCTCCTACAATGAGCGAAACAGCAGTATTTTTCCATGTAAAAATACATGATTTCTATCTTCTACGTTAGCCATTAAAAGAAGGAATGGTTCAAGTTGTTGGTAATGGCATAGTATAAGTAATATATTCCCTGACATAAATGCGAATGAAATTATAGTTTAAAAATAAACACATTCTCACACGTACTTTTAGTCAGTAACCAAGTCAGTAAAAAGGTTGAATAAAAATATCTATCAGTATTTAGAATCAGTAAAAAAATATTTTTTATCAAAATTCGCCATGGGAAATTAAAATGTCGATCACAAAAGGCTAGAGTGAAGTATGATGCTTGTTGAGGCGAAGAGGTTCTTGCATTCCATTATTCAATATTGCTGAGTTACCATATCTTGAGATTGGAGCTGTGCATTAAATCATTAAGATAATAACGTGACCTGAAAGTTTATCCGAAATTTATATCGTCAAATATTTTGAAATCATTATCTAGTGATGTAAAATCCGATGAACACTTTATTTGCGGATTCATCTATACAAAACGTGTGTACAGCGGGATTCATTTGTTAGTTATGAAATTTTCAAAGAATCCTCGATGATTTTAGAACTCTGCGTTTAAAGACAAAATTTAAACATAAAAAATCATGATAAAACTAACAACTTCATATTTACTGAATACAATATTTTACTACTGCCTTCACGTGCCAATCAAAACGGTCAAGCGGTAATCCTGACATGGCATAGTTCGTCTATGATGTATGTGTGCGATGTGTAGACTCGAAACCACATTTGACAGGAAGAGATATATGTTTTTAGAGCTCACTGTCTCTTCAAGTTATGTAGTTGTATAAAAAAATTACCATCAGTGTCAGTGTGACATTAGAGATACAATTTGATTACAGCGAATTTTTATAAAACAGGCAAAAGGCATCGTGAGTACGATCAAGTGTCAACCACGTGAAATTAATCAATTAATCGCGCAATTCGCTTATATATTTATTCCCTTGTTGAAACAATTTTTAAATAGGAACTAATTAGTACAAGTGAAAAAAGCAATATAAGTGTTTAATTTAGTAAATTATAATTGTACTAAAATCTCATGTTGCTGTGTTATAATTTTATAATATAACTGATTTACTATTTTCAGACTACAAAATTTGTAGACATTATTTTTTTAATATTGTTTTCGTTATAGATTTTACTACTATTAAGTACTATTCATTTAAAAGAACAAAACGAAATGTAGCAATTACAAACCATATTTTTTAGGATCAAATCGTAAGTAATTCCTTGCGTGTACTAAGGCTACTACAATTTACATATGTATAATTATACTGTACGTGCACCTTTATATGAAGACCGGCGGCGAAAACAGAGCGAGTGAAAATGAAATAATCACGAACAAAGAGTCTGTGAAGTGCAATATTCGGCTGACGTTGTACAAAGCCTTGCGCAAAAAGCCTACTTTTGAAATCCTATTCTAATTTTTCGTATATTTTTTTATAAATCCACATATTTTATTACTTCGTTATAGGCTCTGGCAGTGATCATTGCTCAAATTTTGTATTAAGACCAGCGCATAGACAAGTCATTGCATTACATAATAACACAAAACATATCAAATCTATACGTATGGTAGTACGAATCAAGGAATAGACCATATTCGTTTTTATGCAAACAGAAATTTATAAAAGCGTTAACGTTCAACGAAGAAATTAAAAAGCATATCAACCAACCCAGTTTGTGTGTGGGAGCAGTCTCCTCTTCCTGTTAATAAATTATTAACTTCATTATATCTTTATAGTAACTATACATTTAATTTGTTATTAAACAATTTAGTGAGTAAATTCACTTGAGACTTGGAAAAATATAATTATGTTTTTAATAAATTGTCATACTTTAAATCGATTTGTACATCAGGAAGCCCGAATGGATAATTTGTCATTTTTACTTCAGTGGCATTTTTTTTTATATAATGGGGCAAACGAGATTGCGGGACGACCAAAAAGGGCAGTCTTCGCAGAAAACTATAGAAATAATATGTAAACGAAATGTTACGAGTCTTGGACCCAAAGATGGACAAGTGTCAGGCACAGATTACTGATCATCCACTTAACCTTAAAAATAACCCCATACATACTGCACTACACACTACACCCGTAGGATTATTATTTATAGCTTTTATGAATAAGTTTATTTCAGCGGTCAAATTGATTTTACGCTATTTCCTCTTGCAGCTGAAATAGTCTTAAATATTTTACATGGCAAGAAACTAATTTCGTAACTTTGTAGTTCCGACTTTCGAAGAAATATTTTACAGTGTATTTATTACTTGTGCTTGCCAATAAAATTTAACAAAGCTAATGCAACACATTTTTGTAAGTTTCTTTCAAATTTCAATGTTCTTAGGTGACAAATTTGTAATATTATTGATTTTATAGGCAAGTTACACTTTCTAAGGTCTCAAAAGTAGATAAACACATCTATACTTTAACAAAATACGACTTTTTATATGAAAAAATAAGGTTTTGATTTACATTTTAAATAAAATGTACTTTCTATAGAAATAATATTTATGTAGTAAAATATTATTTTTATATCAATTCGTGAATATGTTTGTTCTTAAGTAGAAACGTATATAATTTTATTTTAAATGAAAATCCTAAACACACGCATTTTAACTTGGCAAAGTTTTTCTCGTGAAAAACGAAAAATATACAACATGTTTAATTTTCATATTCACAAAAATTCCGTGTAAAATTAATTAAGTATATTGGATTTAGCACAGAGTTTATCGGTGCCTAATTGAAAGGCAAAATGGATATTTACCTCAATTTGACACGTTTATTTTTTATCTCAATTTTTCTATTAGTTGGCCCATGACCCTGCCTGCTGTAACGAAACATCGGTTCATTCGTCTTCTTAATAAGCTATTATTATGTCAAGCTGGCTGGCATACCAGGATGTATATAACCAGAATAAACAATAACTATATAACCATACTTCCCACTGAGAGTATACGGGACCTTCCTCATAAATGTTTTTACTTACCTGTATCAACCTGTGTACCCTTAATTTGTATCAACCCAAATATCAGATTTCCGTAGCTAATCGCAATTTATTCAAATATAATATTTAAATAATTTTCTATGAATCGCAGTTGAAAAGTATTCATGCACCGTTTATACATAGGCATTCAAGCGTTCTTGTTCTGCCACAGCTAGTATACCATTAGCTAACTCAATTTTAATCATTTTAAACGTAAATAATTTTCTTTACAACGAAATTTAAATAATAAATTTCCATATTACAAAAGAAGTTCGTGTCACCTTTTCCGTTATATATTATTTAGTTCAGAATATAAAAATCTTTAATATTAACATCAACATTCACCAAAATGAAGCACGCATTAGACCACAAAATTATAAACTATCCTGATCGAATTAGTAAAGTTGATGTATTTTCTCTAATCAAGAAAGTAGAAAGGAATAATATAAGTGATATATATAAAAGTAACCAGATACAAATAATTTTAAAGTTGTATTTGAACCTGTTATATGACATATGATATATATTGAATGTTTCCATTTTTGTTTCTTTCATTTTATTTCAGTTAAATATAATAAACGTAAACATTACAAATTACGCACTAATAATTGGGATCAGTACTGAAAAGTATTTATTTATAAAGAACCATCATAGCCGTAAGAAATAATTATTATTAAGAAATCACCTCACATAGTGTACTTTATAAAGTAAACTAGCTGTATTTTGTTACGTACGACTAGCGCGTGACGGATTACTTTTAGAAGCCTCTCGTGAATAGGCCTGGTTGTTGCTGTGCGTTGCCTTTCGTATTTCAATGTTTTTGGCTGAAGCCTTTTCGTCTTTATCATTTAGGTCTCTTGTTTCTTCGTATAATATGTGTCAAGTAATGCACCAATGGGCTTGAATTTGACAAAGTGATAGCGTAAGTAGTGATTTAAAACTATGACTATTCATACAAATAACTTGGATACGTTATTGTGTACTGCGAGCTACGCCGTAGCGCGCCTACGTCTATCTACGGTCAAATTGATATTTGTTCTAATTTCTTATGAGTGATTAAGATGTTGCAATTCGAATTGATTTATTTTATATGGATGGGTTTTTATAAGTGATATACTCGAAACGAACTACGATGACAATATTTGAATAGACATAATACAGTTAGATGCAGACGCCAGCCAGTCATACAATGAGTATTCAAAGTATGGTTAATTTAAACCAACCTAAGAATTCAATTTCTCTAAGATTTGTTAACGTTGAGTTTGAATACAAATGTAAAGCTTTAAGCTAGTATTATATAAATGAATTGTGAGGGTAAAGATATGAAGAGTGGAAAAGTAGGACATTGTTAGTGTAGTGCACCTTTTGCAAAAAGTGTGTTAGGCGGTTGCCGTTGGGTCACCGCCAAACTGTCTCCTAGAAACATCTCAATTGATGCTCCAAAGATATGAGCGACCCAAACTCAAATAGTTCTTTTATCAATTCAATTTATCTATGTTTTGTAATTCGAAATGTATGTCGGATATGGATAGTTATTATTAATATTTTAGTAAAATAAATACGTTTTATATTAATATTATTAAGGAAGACAAAGTCAATATACTCGTAGATCTAGATAGAGTCTATATATTTAAGAAACCAAAAGTAATAATAGATTTATGTATGAGCTAGCTACGTTGCATTGGGCTGAATATTCTAGTTTAATAAGTGTAGGACATTACCCAGATTTTAAAATTATTTAGTAAGCTAAAGTTTGCATCCCTGTATCTTTGTAAGGAATCTGTTTTGTTTGACATTTGTGAGTTTACAAATATACCTGCGAGTGGAGCGTCGAACGTCGACGTTTGGGTCAGATCGGAGCACTGCGGCGCGGCGTGCGAGCGGATGCGCGCGCAGGGCGGGTGGCGCGGGGCGGGTAGGCTACGTGCGCGGGCAGTGGCGTGGAGCGCGCGCCGCGGACGCCCGCACCGCCGCACCGCAGTGACGAGCAGCAGCCCGCCATGCCCGGCCCGCGCCCGTCCCGCGCCTGACAGCATGGCCGCACCGACCGCCAACACCGCACGCAGCCACGCTCTGACCACGGTACGGATTCTTCCTCCCGAGCTGACCGTGCTTCTGTCCTCCGCAGCACGAAACTAGACGCCCCACCGCCCGCTAGATGGCGCCGCGAGTCGCTCCTGCGGCGAGTTCGCTCCGCCCGCGCCCCGCTGTGTCTTTTTCACTCTCCCGTTCGTGTGCATAAAATAATAATTGTTCGGTGACGGTGGTGGACAGGGCCGTGAGGCGCCGAGCCGTCGCTGACGTCAGTGGAACCCGGGCTCGCCGCCCGCGGCTTCCCCGACCTTCCGACGTCTGCCGCTCCTAAACGTCACCGTAACATCTCACTAAAACTCTCACTGTCTTTGTGTCCCATGATCGGTTGTGTTAGATCGGTATCGATAAAAGCAATAAATAAAATCTGCTCCGCCTTGAGCATAGCTAATGGATCGAAAGTGTGTAGGTTTCATTCATGTAATTCACTCGTAGGGACGGCGATTGATCAGTACCTAGCAACGCGACGGTGGACGGACGTCTCTTATCGAGTTGAAGCTAGATGCTTTGTGGTTTTATTACGGAAATGGAGATACGAAAGGCGATATTTCGTAAGAGATTCATTTAGTTAAAGGAGTGCGCCCGAGCCTCGCGCCGCGCCCATGCCCCTAAGTCTGGTGAGTGTTACTCTGTAAGGCTTCATTTGACGTGCCATTTCGCGTGAACCTTGTGTAGGTGTTTCGTCGTTATTTACTGGAATGTCAATCTCCTGTAGGAAAATGGGAACCATCACGTGGATACAACCACACGAGTTACATGTAAACACGACAATAATAATATGCAGGCATTGTCTTGGTGAATATTGTATCAGGTTATACGTAACGTTCTCGGCAATATTGACTAAGGGCGTTTCGCTATTACATTTATCCAAAGGTGGATAATTGACATAAAAATCGATGTATCTTATAAGTTTTAAATGGTATGTAATATACTTTCGTAATTAAAACACGTAAGGAGTAGGGAACATTCCTATTCAAAACAACAATTAATAAATTTAAATATCACAAACAGTTTCATGAGTTAATATAACAGCTTTTTTAAATATCTAAATGCAACCAACATAAGCCATATTTAACGACACTAGATTGGTTTTCATATACGTAGATCCTTCATACTTGTTAATATTTGTTATGAAAACAAATCTAGGAGGATTCATAAATGTCAAATATATGTATAACTACTTTTATACATGTTAGTGTTCTTATCTACTGAATACTATATACTACTGACCCAGATAACATTAATTAATTATTATTTAACCGTGATCTAGATTCTGTAATCCATAACCTCTACAAGAAAACCTATTTTGTCTTAAAATGCGCAAAGATAAATTATATGGCTAATCTTTTATTTATTTAATTATGTACACTTTATTCATTCATATTTTTATACTAATTAAAACCTTACTACAAAAATATTAAAAGAAGTACACATAGGTATTCTTCAAGCACAGCCCGTCTATACACGAAAGCCCTGCAAAATTGATATTTAAGCTAGTCGTTGTTTAGGGAGTTTCGTAATTACATTATTGGACATCCAATCAAATTAATTTCGAAAGTAATACTTATATCGTCGTATCCTGTTGTTGTTATTCTAAATAATAAAAAATCTACATTTCTCTTGTTAAGCTCTATTTCGATTTGGTTCACTTTAAATTGTAGTAATAATAAGATATAACAGTTATATATAATAAACTAATTCTTATATTTGGTTATTACTCTATTCTAATTATGTATTTTTTAGTAATTATATCATAAGTAATTTAATAATTTTGTTAGAAAAACTTATATGGCATGTACCAAAACTATTTTTTAAATTCATTTCCACATAATTATTATTAACTTTACAGTTGGAACTAATGGAATTGAATTACATAATAATACCTTGACAACTTCTACATTAAACGTGTAAATATAAATGTGTAGGTGGTACACTCGTTATAAAGAGCTCAACCTCCATTACTAATACTGTAAACATTGTTGGCTTAGCGGTTAGAGCGTGGGGCTCTCATCCTTGAGGTCGTAGGTTTGAGCCCGGCTACACCAACATTCTGTCTATGTGTGCATTCAACACTCGCTAGTACGGTAAAAGTAAACATCGTTATGAAGCCGGCATACCTATGACCTTATTCGATGGCATGTTACAGGCACAAAAAGCTGATCACATACATTACGCCTATCAGAAAAAATAAATGATCGCGAAGCATACAGAAGTGTGGGTTCGAGACCTAAAATGTAGCCCCATTGTTTTTATTAATACAATTGATCAATCTTTTAAAAGTTATTATTTTTTTATATGAGAGATAGATAAGCCAGTATTTAAGACCAATTGTATATATTTTAAACATGTTGTTCCAGACTGCAAAACTTTTTTTATTTTATTATCGAGTCTCGATCATAAATGTTACACGCAATACTACATATTTGATTATATTGTCACGTAAGTATCACTATATAATAGTAAACAAACATTATTTATTTTATAATATAAGAATTTTATTACTCATAAAAATATTAACTATTACCAGCGCTGTATCAAACCAAACAAAAACGCTTCGAATTGTTCACAAAATTGGTAACTGCAAAATCATAACCAAGAATAATCGTTGCATTGTCATCGATGATATTGTTGCAAATGCCGTCCAGTTTAAGACAGACAGGGCGGCTGTGGAATTAGGACAAGTTGCAACCTTTGAAATTGGGTCACAAAAGTATCTGCTATATTGTATGTAGTGAAGACGCCGAATAACTATTACTGAATTTGTTTTCTATTCCTCTTTTAGTTATAATTACGCTGTAATGAGTGCTATTAACATTTCTTATTTATCATGTATTTTGTCTATATTTACCAACCCAATAATGAATTCAAAAAACCGTAGACGAGTAAAAGGGTTGAGGAGAGTTTTTTGTTCTTCTCTTCTCGAACGCTCTACACCCTTGATTTGGGTATTGGTTGTAAATGTAAATTTAGATCTTCCTTATTTCAATATTGGCGTTCATAAAGAACGCGAATAAATAAAGTTTGATTTCAGTATTTTGTGTTGGTGGTAGTATACTCATTTTAACTTAAGCGTGAGTAAATTTACGCAAGAAAAACTATAATATTGTCTTGTGTTTAAACGACTACAACACATTTAAATAAAACACCCAATCGTGCAAACATTTGATAAATTAAACAATTATTTACCATATATTGAGCAACCTAAAATCCTTGGAAAAGATAAAATATTCTTTCTTAAACGTCTTCAGCTCCTGGGAGTCAAGCAGTCTGGAAGATTTTTTAAGCAAAATGTACCATGTGTGTGTGTAAAAAAACGCTAGAATAACGCGAATAATAAGTAATAGACACATTATAAGTAGACGACGCAGCCTCCGTAGCTTTGTATGGTTTATTTATTTATTGATTTACAGCCCATACATGGCCAAGTTTCAACAAAAGTCCACAGAAAACCTTTTGCTACCTTTTAATCCTCTCTAAGTTTACCCTTAACTTTATTCAATGAATGCGAAAAGGTTTTAAAATGGCATTTAAATAAGACAAATTATTTAAGAATAAGAATAATTAGTGGAATAGACGCAGAGGTCATGAACACCTGACTTTAATAAAATTATTAGTAATCGCGTATTTTGTTTGCCAGTGTTATTTCGTCTTACATAATACTAATAATATTCTTTCCCTTTAATTTAGTTTCATAAATATCCCGTGCGAATGGGCGCCATCTCATTTTTGTGGCATAAATATTTACAAATTTAGGTTGTTGTTGTATTTAAAAAAGGGTCTGTATTGACCAAAAGATTTGTTTTCTCTCTAACGTATATTTCCTATTCAAGCTTCTGGGATTAATAGAATACTTCTTCTTCTTCATTAATAAAGGAGTAATTATTTAAAGCTATGGTAAATTAACTTAAATCTCCAAATGGCTGCGATGTTTCTTAATGAACGATTCAGATTACGAAGATAAGTCTTGATAGTACGATAAGGCTTACCATTATAAAGGTAAACATATTGAAAGCGCCAAAAAGCAAATGAAAATTACATTTGCTTTTTGAAAGCTATAAAGATTTTATATGTTATAGTTGTTTTAGTAAATCTACTATTAAATATAAGTGGACCATTCTGAATACGGTTGTTATATGGTTAAAGCGAGGTTAGAATTTATTTGTCCTTATTTTTAGCGGAGGACGTTGCGAGCATCTACTCTATAAAATACAGCAAAAGTTACTTTTGTCTGATTAGTTTATCTATATAAGTGAATGATAAGAAGTATAGGCTGTTATAATATACAACTGTTATACAATATATATAACACGTATATTTTTTTACATAAAACAGTTTCAAAGTAAAATTTAGATTTCTACTCACTCACTGGCTTTATCGGGTTTCGTTTTAATATCGACTATCAATGGTCACACTCAAACTAATTGAATTATTTTATTGGTTACATCCTGTGATGCTCGTGCAAGCGTATGCTATAATGGAATTTTCCGATACGTTGTTGTTCGTAAACCCCTAATGAAGTTTAGGGTAGCCTAGTAACTGCCTTGGTTTTTTATATGTGGTTTTCTGTGCATGCACTTGAAATAATTACTGTTTCGTCTTAAAGTAAAATTTACTGTATAAAAAGGATTGCAGATCCATGACAACCGCATTTTAAAAATCCAAGGTCTTTTTGTATCTATTACAAAATTATTAGTCTATTTAGATATTTAGTTCTTGAAATAATTAAGGTGTTAAACGAATCGATATTTAGGAATTACAGGGCATAAGCCCCCCTGTATACTTGTATAAATAAATGTATTAACAGTTTTTACGTTTTTACAATTTAATACGTTTATTTGTATTTTATAGTTGTGTCTTTTTTTTAATTTATTTTTTTATTTTCGAGTCAGTTGTATTTTTATATGGGAACTAGCTGAATCGGTTAACGTTGTTTTGCTAAATAAAGATTATTACAGTACTAATATAGCTATTCAAAATGAGTGTTGGTAAAAAGTAAAATTTAAGAATTACATGTATTTTAATACAAAATAATGTTTTATCACTTCGGG